GTGCGTGTGGCCACCCTCGACTCACTCGCTCGCACGGAAAAGCAGTAGGAAGGAGACAAATGGAATTTTGCCATTATTATGGGAGGTGGGCTTCGCTGGTTTGCCATCCCGCAATAGTGTAGGTAGGTGTTAAGGCGATCAGGTCCTATGGTCAAGGTTTAAACATTTTAACATTTCAAAATATTCGATGGACACTCCGTCAGAGGATGGATGGTCCGTGAATACTTTTTTGGAAAGCTAACAAGTTCTGCTTGGGCTCTGAGTGAATTGACGGAACCTTCCGTGGCTCTTGACGGATGGTACGTGGGTGCACTGGATGTTCCATAGAACATTATGTGGAGTTGGGACTTTGGCATTTTGGGTGAACTGTGTCTCCCATGCAAAATGACGGACACTCCGTAAAGAACTGGTGCTCTCAGGTTCTCTAGAAATCAAATTTAATTATTGACAGATAGTTCGAGAATATTTATGGATGATCTGTGGATTTATTTACAGTGAGGATTAAAGGTTGTGTTGTGAATTTTTGGCTAAGTGCTGTGTTGATGGACACTTCGTCCAAAGTGACGAACACTCCGTCATTCGTCGATAGAACCTATGTTCATCGTGTTGAGTTTGATTCAAATCTAGTTTGAGGGTTGGGTTCACTATTGTAACACCCTCGGTGCTAAAACATGTCATGAGCATCATGGTTATGTGATAATGCGTGTGATATAGTGTGTGGATCGATTTTCGTAACTCGATACGATCGACGGAAATGCGAAATGAAAGTTACATTTCATAGTCAAGTTATATCACTTAGGGTTTTAAATCAATTTTTATTAAGCGAAAACACTATAGAACGTGTATACGGAACTTTAATAAAGTTTGTAGTACAAATCTTGTAGAAATTGGAAATTGAATTTGAACTCACTAGCTAACTGGCCTAATAAAGAACTCACTAGCTAACTGGTCTAATAGGTTGGAAATTGAATTTGACGCGAAACCAGTCATGACTTGGTCAAATTTCTTGAGTCGGAAAAGGGTTTGACGAGGCTAAGTTTGGCAATTTTTGTAGAGTAATCGGGTTAAGAAGTGATGGGGTATTAGGGCTTGTTTTAGTAGCCTAACATACCCTCTCGAGTGTAGAATAGGGTATGTTAGCAACATCAAATTCGATTTTTGGGACGCTTTAAAAAGCATGCATGGCACGTTTTGGGCCGAGTTTCTCGCGTGGACGCGGTCACCGTGCCTCGGCACTCGGCGTCGCCGCGCTGGCCACTCGATGCACGCGCGTGCGCACGCCACCGCACTGGCCTAGCCACTTTGCCCCGTAGTGTCCTTGTCGTTGCCGTCGTGGGCCAGTCGCTCTAGCCGGTCCGCTGCCGCTTGGACGCCCGCCTCGTGTTGTCACCGCCGCGCCACGGACCGCCGCCGTCCCATCACCGTGCTGCCTTGCGCCATCACCGTCGTGCCACAGCACGTGCGTGTTTCCTCTGCATCGCGTCATCACATTGCGTGCACCCGCGGTGCTTGCGTCGCGTCGCCACTGCCGCCGCTGCGCGCGCCTGCTGCACCGGCACATGGCCGTGTCGCCGTCGGTTCGCCAATTAAGGCGCTGCATCCGCACGAGCCATGTCAACCCCGTACGTGCACATGTAGCCTCCTGTGGGTGCCCTTGTCCTCTTCTATTGAGTGGCAAGTGCCACGCTACGCTCCCCATTCATCTCCACCTTTAATGGCGTCGCGCCGGCGTCAGCGAGCCGTACCTGAGCCAGCTCGTAGCGTCCGGTCTAATCCAAGCAATTGAGTGCGCCAGAGGGTTGAGTGGGAACCTAGCTACACGCCGTGATCGCCACTGCTGCAGTCGTGCGCCGTAGAGCTCCAATTTGGAGTCTTCTTCCCCATCGACCAGCTGAAGGCCGAACGGCGACGCTCACCCCAATTAGCCTTGCACCGTCCACCTCCATCCAATTCCTTGGCACCGTGTCTTCGCCTTGATCCTCTCCACCCCCCGTGCGCCTCAGCCTAGCCGCTACCGCCCTGCCATGGTCGCTGATGCGACGGTGTCACCGCAGTGCGCCGCCGCATCTCACCGTCGCACGTGGCTAGCTCGGTTCAGGAAATCCCTGGCCAAATCGCCCCCATAGCAGCAACAAGGGTACACTAGTGGTGCTTTAGGGCTGGCTATCTCTCACTGTGGTGGCTTAGGGTGGCCGGCGCGGTCGTGCAGCCGTCGTGTGTGGCCGCGCGTCATGGCCACCGTTGCCGCGAGCACTATCGCCCATGTAGCTTTGGCTAGGGTAGGCTCTAGGGTCGTAGGTGCTGTTCGACTCGCTAGTTTGGTCGGAGCGGGTCCTGGTTGGCCGGCGTGACCGCTCAATGCCAGCGCCGCCGCGTCGGTGCGCTCGCAGTGGCCCGAGGACTTGGCCGTGGTAAAGATGGTCTATGCCGAGGGCTAAATCGCTTAAGTCCAGACTGTAGGAATAGGGCACATTGGAGTCAGGGGAATAGCAGTTAGATCGAGGTAGTTTTCGCAAAAGGCCGGCGTGCGCGGGCCTCCGCGTCGTGGGCGTTGTTGTCGCGGATGGGTCACGCACCCGTGTGGGCCACGCCGGTGGGTCGCGTTTGCGCGCACGCTGCGCGGGTGTGGGCCAAGCCGCGATGGGCCACGCGGATGGATTCCGGTTTTTCATTTTTCTAGGGAATTAGTAAATGTCTATTCAATTTAGTTTTGAGCTGATCTTTGTAAAATTATAGTAAATTCTGTTGGTGCCCAAAAATAGTGAAACAAAATTTGTTAGGTTTACAAAAATGTTATCTATCTGTTGGTGTAGTTAGTTTACAGTTATCGGTGATAGTGATAGATTCATTAATTCATTTAGGAAAGCTTAGTATTATTTAGCTTAATATTTGTAGAAATTTTTGTGGTAAATTGGTGATAGATTTAGCCTTGAAATTTTTAAAGTAGGTTCATTAAATTATTATGTGCTCACTGTAATTTTTGTAGCCCTAGAGTAGGTCGATAAATAGAGTAGCTAGTACTTCTTGTTTTATCATATATAGAGTAAATCGATATTAAGAATAGAGATTTCTTTAGTTGCTAAGTTAATACATGAAATGTTTCATACCTGTTTAGTGGGAATGATAGGTAACGTAGCGTCTTAGTGTGGAGGATCCTTATTTCATGTTCCACACCTGGATGAAATGTTTCATACCCTTATTTACCCTTGTTTAGTGTGGAGGATTCTTCTGGTGGGTACAGACGGATCCTTATTTATTATCGATAGATGTTTCTTTACATTCCACTGTTTAATTTCCGCACTCTGAATTTGGTTCTGTAATAATATTTCTAAAAACTCTGGATGTATGAAATGGACTAAGTATTGTAACTTGTTCTCATTATTGGATTCTTGGGGAAAAATGTGGATTATTCGGGCTCTCCCTTGGGTGTGCTCGACGGAACTCGCCCGATGTAGCTTGTTTTTGGGGTGCTTAGTGTCTGGTCGAAGACGAGCGCCTCCGAAGGTGTGTTATTTCGGACGGTTCTGCCACAACTATGCATGTGTGAGATGTTTCCAGGTTTGTTTTTGTGATAGGATAGGCCAGTGATAGCTAGGTTTTGGGCTCTAGTTATCAAGTGCAACTAATGATTTGTGAATCATTTTATTCATGATAAAAGAGAGATAAACCATGTGATTGGGCAATGACAACTTAGCTATGAGAATTTGCAGACTCTATATCACCCAGAGCAAGGGCCTTGAGCAATCTTGATTCCAAGCATAGAGAGATGGATTTGGCCGTTCATGATGTCTATTGCAAAAAAATCCATGAAAATTCATTAGAGATAGATTAAAGTGTTGCATTAGGTGGTTGAGCTAGTGGTGACTTTGATCTCACCCTTGAGATGGTGGAGAGATCACCAAGCTCCATGCTTCATCCATGCACGAAGAGATTGAGAGCTAGGGTTTGATAGATGATTTCAAGAAAAATGATGTGAGAGCTCTTGAGCTAACCATGGATGAAGATTGAGATGATGATGTTCTTGCTCTTGACTTGATGCTGATCTTTCTGCCCTTTGATCCTTCCCTGCTTCCTTTCTTTTCCTTCATCCTTGTTCCTTTCTCTCTCTTGTTCTTCCCTTGTTCATCTTTTCTTGAGAGAGAGAGGGAGGGTAGAAAATGAGAGAGTGAGTGAGGGCTGGCTCTACTGAAGGGAGTCACCAACTCGTGCTGACAAGCTGGTCCCACCATTGGAGTGGAGAACAACTTACTTTCCACTCAATCCTGCTGATTTAGTGAACTGACGGACAGACCGTCTGACATAACGGAACGTTCCGTCAATTCCCTGATTTTGAGAATTTGATGTAGCAAAAGGGTCTTTGGCATTGGGGCCATTCCTTATGTTCTTGAGATCGTTAAACACAATTGGAGAGATCAAAAAGGTTAATTAGCATCTTCTAGAGATTATTTCTTGCGAAGTTGACTTTGGGTTGACCATGGTTGATTTGGGTTGACTCGGGAGAGTGGATGAAGTTAATTAGCGAATTTGGAGTCCTTATCCTAATAGAAAGAACCAGGAATTTCCTTAACAGAATGATAAAGTGATTCTTGGGTGTTCAGAGGTCTCTACGAGGTCATCGAGGAGGTTCTAGTTGAAAGTTTTAGTTGGAACAACTTTGGGTTGTGATAATGGCCTATCCTCCTAATCTATTCGCATCGACAATGCGTGCGAGTGATATGCCTTCCACCTTTTTTCAACTCATAGCAGGCGAACACAATAGCCAACTATTTAAGTTGAGCCAATCTCTTATCAACTTCTCATACAGGATTAATTATTCATTGCATTAGCATTTACTATTGGTATTGGAATTTATTTGATTTAAATTTACCAAATCCAGTCAAATCCAACCCAAATGGCTAGCTTATTATTATTACCACCTGCAATTTTCAGCGTACGGACAATTTGCTAGTTCATTATCATATAAAATTAGGACACGATGGAAGCTCCTATGCGATAATACTTCATGCGCCATTCATGAGTGGCTTCTTCATCTCCCATGCGGTGAGACGGGACACCCGGACGTCCGCATTCCCGTTGTTGAACACGTAGAGGCGAGCGTTCTTGCCGATGGCGAGCGACGGGTAGACCCTGGAGAGGATGCAGGTCTTGCCCCCGGCTCCAAAGCTCTCAACAACCGACCGGTCGATCTGCAGGAAAAAGTAATCGCCACAGCTGAGAAAACATAAACAGAGGATTTGTTACATGAAAACTTGTTTACATGTACTGCTACGCATACCAAGCTTCTCAGCGATATCTTCCCATTTGAAATGTCCGTGTCAACAAAACCGGCAAACGTCGGGCGGTACAGGTTTGGGTTCAGAGACGACCTGTGCGCGCGTTCAACAAACGGAAACCAGTGCAAGTCAGTGCAGTACATACGTGTAACCACAGCAGCTGCATCTGCATGGATGCTCTGCTCTGCTATTTGTAGGTGAACACACACGAAAAGCTAGCTCATGGCAGGTGGCCACAGCCGCGAGAGACGATCGATGCCGGTTTGCGCGCAGCACTTACTTGGTAGGGTCGGTGCACATGAGCACGACGGGCTTGTTGCTGCCGGCGGCCTTGAACACCCTGAAGAACACCGCGGTCCTCTCCTTCAGGTTGGCGGAGGCCAGCACCCACAGGCCGAACGGGCCCGCGCCGCCCTTCACGTCCGCGCCCTTGACGCCGCACAGCCTCTCCGCGTCGTAGGCGAGCGCCGGGTCCTGCGGCTCGGCACCAGCCAGGGCCGACGACGACACCTCGAAGCTCACCTCCACGTCAGCCTGCACAGCCGAATAGGAAGCGCGTGTTAATTTGGTTGGTTCCCAGCCCAGCTCAGGTGACGACCCACCCACCCCACCTGCACGGCTGCACGGCGACACGGCGCTGGCGCGGTGCAGCATGCTGGGAAGGATCAACTTGTGTGTGCAGACTGTAGAGCACTGGTGGCGGATAAGATAACATGGTGCAGTTTTGCAGATCAGGCAATCAGGATCGGATGAGCAGTTTTTCAGGAAGGCAGTGAATGGTAGCACTAGCAGTGCTTTTCCTTTTGTGATAAGAAAACATTTCCAAGCTAGCCCAGGTAATTAAAATATACGAGCGGCTAAGTGAAAATTAAAGGATTACCAGTGTTAATAAGCACACGGCTCACCTGTGCCGCTTGTATCCCGGTCACTTCGACGTGCTGCCCTGGCCTAATTACCCTGTCCTTGAGAGTGGCCGACTTGCCTCTGAGCGCCTCCACCTCCTCGATGGGCCACTGCAGCAGCTGCTTCCCGCTGGGGTCCAGCCACACCGTCCTCGGAATCGCCTGAATTCCGGCCCACCCTTTGGCCACGTCGTCGGCGGTGGTGTCCGACTCGTTGGCCCATCCCCAGAGGATCCGGCGCCGCTTCGCCGGGTCGAAGAACGTCTTGGACGCGTAGAAATTGCCGTAGTCGTACCGCAGGCGGTGCTCGTCGCCGGCGGGGTTGTCCGGCACGTACCGCTCGGCCTTCCGGTCGTACGTGCCGACGGTGTAGTAGTCGTACCGCCGCAGATCGAGGCTGTTCTTGAGCACGTGCTTCACCCGCGGGCCGGACGACACGGAGGTCTCGAGCCCCACGCGCCGGCCGGCCGTGCTCACCGGGTACAAGTCCGGGCACTCCCACATCCCCGTGGCCGCCGAGTGCAGCGGCCGCTGCACCCGCGTCCACCGCCTGAAGTCGCGGCTCCGGTACACGTACGCCACGCCCCGGGCCGCGGCGGCCCCCGTCACGCTGCCGATGAGCAGCCGCCAGTGGCCGTCGCCGTCGGCGGCGCGCCAGGCCGTGGTCGGGTCGCGGAACTGCGTCGCGTTGATGCCGCCTTGCGGCACGATGATGGGGTTGTAGGACGGCTTCGCCCACTCGCGGAGCAGCGGGTCGGACTTGTTCTTTGGGTAGGCCACGTTCTGGACCTGGTAGTTGATGTTGGGGCGGTTGATGCCCGTGTACATGATCACCGGACTGCCGTCGGGGAGCACGGTCGCCGAGCCGGACCAGCAGCCGTACCTGTCGGACGGGATGCTAGGTCTGAGGGCCGTCTCTAGTGCCACCCAGTGGATGAGATCTCGCGACACCGAGTGCGCCCATACAATGTTGTTCCACACGGCGCCCTTAGGATTGTACTGGTAGAAGAAATGGTACCACCCTTTGTAGTACATGGGCGCTGCATGCAGTTTCGTCAATCGAAAACCGAGTCCGTAAGTTCTAGTAGTATTTACTTTCTTTCCACTTAATACTAGAGCACCAATCGAAATAAATCTGGAAATATGGATGCATGATAACAGGAAAATAAAAAAGGGTGGTTAATCGACTTACCGTTGGGATCTGCCGTTGCAAAGTTAGGCCGCCGATCGATGCAATCAGAGTGGAGAGCACAACACACCGAAAAGATTAGAAGATGAGTTAGAGTCAAACCTTGACAGCTGACAACAAACATTGTTACTAAATTAAGCAGTAAATGGTTGCTCTACCAGACAACAACATTCAGATCGAGCATAGTAGAACGTACTAACACTGGCCACTATATGACTCTAGTGCTAACACATGAACACAGTTTTTGCACTAAAACAATTGTTGACGCATAGTACGTACTAAAGTTGTTTTTGCTGGGCTGACCCTTTAAGCATTAAGCATTTTTTTAACTCTCGTAATTTCTGTCATAACTATAGTTAAGGCTACAAGCGATAAATCAAAACCCTGAACAAGCCTATTACTAGCCTCTCTTATTTCAGGAGATGCATGTTCAACATATATCACCTTCAAAAAGTTGGCTGGTTGATTAGTTAGTAGCTTTACATTACCATTAATCCAGTTCTCGGCGGGATGGAAGTGGTACCCCGTCCTCAGCTGGGGGTTGACGATGGACGGTGGCACCTTCGCTGTCGCAGCTTCGGCCTCGAGGTTCTCGTGGTCGTGGACGACATGCGAAGCTCCTGCGAGCTGCAACAGCAGCAACCATGCCCAAGCAAAACTCACTACAAGTGCTCTCATTGCCCTCACTCGCATACAGATCAGGTAGCACGGACAGGTGAAGGATGCAACAAAGTGGAGGACGGGGGATGCTATTTATACTGTGCAGCCGCAGGCCGGACCGCTGATCGGCTGCTTCTTCTCGTCTCACAAGGAGATATATTATGCCTAAAAAATACCATAAATCTGTGGATTTTTTTTTCGAAAGAGCGGCGAAACTTTGCCGCGGATTTTATTAGACGATATAAAGAGAAAAAAGAGCAAATACAACTCCCTATTTACACCCAGCGTCCTCTGCTAATCAAAATAGAAACCAGCAAAACGGCGAAAAAGACAACTGCACGAAAGAAAACAGGTAAAAAGACCGAGACTAGGGACACACCAAAAACAAGAACCCTGGTCCAACCGGAGAAGAGGTCTACTGCTAGTTCGCCGTATTATGAATTGGAGCCGTCGCCAAAGAAAACTGACTTATATCATCTTTGCACAAACTTGCAACTTGTCTTGGGCTCAAACTTTTTTGTTGGAAAGTTCGCCTATTCCTCTCTTTTCAGATATTCCACCAAAAATATATTATGATCCCGTCGAAGCGCCGTCTTTGATTTTTGTCAAGTTTTCTCCTACATCTTGGCCAGTAATTATGAAGCGACCCAGTTGTGTTTATGGAGCTGAGGTCAGTTAAACTGAACCATATCTTGATTAACTCCCACACTTCCTTAGTGAAAGGGTAATCTTTACACAGGTGTGTTGGTGTCTCTTGATCATTTGTACATAGTTTACATATGGGGTCATCCGTCCATCCTCGCTTCATCAAGTTGTTTGCGGTCAGAATTTTTTTATGCATTAGTGTCCATGCGAAGAATCTGCATTTCGGTTTCGTCTTGGCCTTCCAAATTGGCATAATTCTGAGCTTGGAAAAGGTCCCTTGGAACTGAATTTCATAAGCTCTTTTTGTTGTGTACTCTCCACTTTCTGTCAACACCATCTTATATCGTCTTCCATATTATTGATCAACTGCGTATCCTTGATGGCCTCCCAAAGGTCGGCAAATTCAGAGACCTCTGCCTGTGAATTCAAAGGATATATGTGGTCAATCCATCTGTTATTTTCTAGAGCCTTTTGCACGGAAATCTTCTTCCTGTGCGTCTTCTAAAACAAGCTAGGCGCGATTGTTTTTGCCGAAGCACCGTTAATCCATGACGAAGTCCAGAACAAAGCTGTTTTCCATACACACCCGTCAAACACCAGGTTACGTTCTCTTCTAGCATCGTGATTTCAGCTTTTCCATACACACCCGTCAAACACCAGGTTACGTTCTCTTCTAGCATCGTGATTTCAGCAGACACAGAATGGTTCGTTGTCTGCAAAGGTGACATACTGAAGAATTGGTCAGACATTGCCATTAGGATACCTCCCGCTGCCCCTATCGATGGAAGAAAACTGCAATTTCGAGCCAAAACCGGACCCACGATTTCTACAAGGAGACTCTGAGTCCAGCTTTCTATCTTGGTTTCCTGAAGGCATACAATAGTCGCATTGGATGCGCTAATGAGATTGCGCACACTTGCCCGCTTCACCCCATCGTTGAGGCCTCTAACATTCCAACACAAGACAAAGCAATTTTTCTGCGACATTAACCACCATTAGCAACTAGAGCATAGACCAAGTTCCTGACATACATGGACCGAAGGCAGCGAGGCCAGCAGATCCCTAATATTCGAAATAGAACCGAACGGGGTTTGCCGAAGGCAACAGAGCCAGCAGGCCATAGTCTCCCCCGTCGGTCAATAAACTGAAAGATCCTTGAGATGATCGACACATCCGCAGTGCTAGTCTGTTCCGACGATCTGCATAACATGGGCATACAAACCCCTTGACAGCCACGCAGGGCCCAAACTATCTGTGGATTTTTTATTGACGAAGAATAAATCTATGGGTTGACTCTGATCAGCCTTGTCTGAAGTTATACATATCTATCTTTAGATTGAAGTATATTTCATTTTTTCTTTCTCTTAGATAAAGAATATTTAATTTTTTCTTGGGAAGGTCTGTTGACCATTGTATCTATTTGTCTGTCTATCTAGCTATAGTATTACAGAAACAAACTTATCAAAAACCACCTCTATGTCATAGGAATCTCTCCACTCCATCCCATAATAGGAGCATATCTTCTCCATCCCATCATAAATGTATTCCTTCCGTCCAAAAATAAATGCACATCTCGCTTTCTAAGGAGTCAAACCTTTTAAAGTTTTGATCAAATATATACAAAAATATGTGCTAATATTTATGATGTATAAGAAGTATTATTAGATTAACTATTGAATATACTTTCATAATGAACTCATTTGTAGAGATATAAATGTTGATATTATTTTCTATATTCCTAGTCAAACTTAAAAAAACTGACTCCTCAAGAAGCGAGATGTGCGTTTATTTTGGAACAGAGGGAGTAGTCATTTATTATCTTCATCCTGCAAAAGAGTGGCATTTTAGCTTTGTCGGAAGTCCTCAATTTCAACTAAATTTATAGAGAAGAGTATCAATATTTATGACACTAACTATTTTTGACCAAGTTATTGAAAGCCACCTTTTTTATAGTCTATGCCTTATTCATGGTGTAGAAGGTGGAATTTTATCTAGCTGATTTATAAAAATGACAATATATATGTTATTAAAAAAGTATATTTACATGATAAATTTACTCACCTCCATCTTACATTGTTAACACATCTCATTTTTTAAGACCAAACCCAAATACTAAATTGCTCAGTCTTCACCTTCGCTCAGTGAAATGGGCCGGGAAATAAATCAGCAAACAGTCAATTACACACGAGCTTTAGGCCTGCTGCAAACTCCCATCCGCCTGTTAGGGACGACGCCTGGAGAGCCAAATTAGGCCCAAGAGGTCCAGCCCTTTGCGCCTGCACAGTTTTCCTCATTAGCCAACTGATCCGTTGGAAGAAAATATTATTTCGAAAGCTACTGTAGCAACTTGTGCCCGATTTTCATCTGCACCCAAAAGAGCCCAGCCCAAATTCCCAAAATCATTGAAAGCTACCAAAAAATGAATCTTGTGCAAGTGCAGCTAATAAATTCAGTATTTGTTGATTGATGAATGATGATTATACGACTTCGCCTGGCTGATAGTCGCTTCCATCCTTATTCAGCTGGCTAAGGTGCTGTTGCAGTGTTTCCACCAACAGAAATGTTTCCTTTTCATTAGTCCTTCAGGAGGTACCACCGCCTCAGATTCTAGTACATGAGGCACAGTACTATTTTTATAGCTTTTTTATTGAAGAAATTTTATTTAGCTTTTGCTAAAGTTTTACACTCAACTATCTATCTATTATTACTCCATTCTGGATCAACAAAATTTCTGGGCCAACGTTTGATCTGGAAAACTTGGGCGCCGTTGCGCGTCAAGATCTTTTTATGGCTGGCATTCAGAAGGAGACACTGGACCGCTGACTGCCGTGCCCGCCATGGCCTCGCGAGAGAGCAATGCTACCTCTGTGATCAGGCGACTGAAACCATTGATCATATTATAGCATGTTGTCCATACACTAGGGAAGTATGGCATCACATCTGCCAAGCTCTCGGTCCACAGCTTCCACCGGCAACACCAACAATTCACACCTTCTGGCGACGGCTGCGATCGTTGTGGACCGGCCAGCAGCAGCAAGGCCTTGACACCTTCTTCAGTTCTTCGCGCTTGTATCGTGGACAATCTGGAAGGAAAAGAATGCTCGATGCTTCCAGGATGCCTACACCACGGTGAGCCAGCTGATGCCGGTGATCAAGGCAGAGACAGATACTTGGATTCAGGCCGGGGCACATGGCCTCGAGTATTTGGCGACAAGGGCTATGCTATTCAGTTGTCATGGTTGTCACCTTCAAGATGTAGCCTTCTAAATCTGTAACCGGCTTAATGCCGGAACTCTTTTGTATTTTTAAACTCTATCTACTTAATACAATGATGCGCAATCCTCTTGCGTATTCGAGAAAAAAACTATCTATTATTACAAAGTTTCGGCCACTAAGGATGCTGATGAAGAGAAGCTCTAAGAAATCAACAAAAGTGTAAAAGACTATGAAACTAGCAACAAACTAAGCCCTAGCCTATTAGAAGACCTCTACCTATTTTTAGGAAAATTCTGAATTGTTGTAGTCTTCATCACTCGGCATACCCAC